CATGAGGTTCAGGTTTCAAATGCATTTGCTGCATTGGGAGAGACTGAAGAAATTGAAAATGCTATAGAGGAAATTGGTGTGGAGGACAAGATACAGACCACAGGGATGGTTGACTCAAGAAATATTGTTGTAGATGCAAATAAAGAAGAAGAGATGGTTGTGGATAAACCTACAGATAATGTGGTGATACATACACTTTTGGAGGAAGGATTGGAAGTTGTGGAACCAGAGATCAGGCCTATAATAATAGAAGAAGTTGTGCAGGATGATACAGTTGGTGTGGTGGACACTAGGGATGCTAGGGTTGAGTCAGTAAATGAAATACAGATTCAAAGAGATAAGGGATCAAAGCCAGTTTGCCAGGGGGATCCAAGTAAAAAATCAAATAAGGTTGAGATTGCTACATCAGCTAGGGTAACTAGAAGCAAGTTGGGGCTGTTGCCTCAGACATCCTCCTTTTCTCAATGATTGGAGCATAGAATGTGAGAGGCTTAAATAAGCCTAGAAGACATAAGGAGGTAAGAGGTTGGACCATGAATAATGCCTCTCATTTTGTCTGTTTATTAGAAACTAGAGTTAAAGTTGAAAATTTTCAAATTTTTTCCAATAAAATCAGGAATAATTGGAGTTGGATTAATAATTATGATGCTCATTTGGGGGTCGAATTTGGATTGGGTGGAACCCAGTTGGTTTTTCTGTATCTGTGGTGGATAGCAAGGATCAATGTATGCTGCTTAAAGTAGTTGCTAACTCTACAGGGGATGAGTTTTATTGTACGCCTATGTATGCTGCAAAACAGAGCAAGGATAGAATGGATCTGTGGAAGTATATTACATCATATGCTGCCTTAGTTCAAGGTCCTTGTATTACACTGGGGGATTGGAATGCAATTAGGTTTCATAGGGACAAAAAAGGTGATAGTAGAGTGCCACTGGATGAGTTTAATATGTGTCTGCAAAATGCAAACTTGTTGGAATTACCTCCTACAAATGGGGACTGGTCTTAGTGTAATAGGCAGAGGGTGAGAAGGAGGATTCATGAAGTTGGACAGGGTTTTTCTGAATGATGTTTGGTTGGATAAATACCCTGGAACCAAGTTCTCATATACAATGGCAAAAACTTCTGATCATTATGGTGTGATGGTACAGGTTTCAAAGAATTTTGCCTCAGGTCCAAAGCCCTTTAAAATGCTCAAAGTCTGGTGTGATAAGCGTGAAGTTTTACCATTGATACAACAGGCTTGGGATATAGAGGTTGAGGGTTCTCCAATGCATAGATTATTGTTCAAACTCAGGAATGTGAAAAAGTCTATCAAAAAGTGGAATAAGAATGTTTTTGGAGATGTGGGAGAGAAGATTATCAAGACTACACTGAACTTGGAATTAATTCAGGAGGGTCTGTTAAGGGATCCATTTGATGTAAAGCTAGATGAAGAGCACAAAGCTAGAAAAGAGTATGAGGATGCACTGGTTGATCAAGAGATTATGATGGCTCAGAAATCAAGATTGTTTTGGCTGAGGGATAATGATAGATGCACTGCTTACTTTCATCAAAAGTTTAAACAGCATAGAAATTTCAATGCTATTACAGAGGAGGGGGAAATTTCAATTGATCCTACAGTTATCAGTGGCTGGTTTGTGGATTACTACCAAAAACTATTCTCAAGGAGTCCTTCAGAGGTAGTGTGTGATATAAATCCTAGGTATACTTGGATGTAACAGATAAGGATATGTTAGAAGGGCAAGTTACTTATGAAGAAATAAAAGGAGTGGTGATGAGTTTCAATCCTGATAAGGCACCAGGGCCAGGCGGATTCCCTGCCAGATTTTACCATACTTTTTGGACTGTTATTGACAAAGAGGTGGTGGCTGTTGTTCAACATTTTTTTATTTCCAAAAGTATGCCAATAGGGGTTAGCTGCTCATTTATTACTTTGATTCTAAAGGTAGGAGATGCTGCAAAGTTGGGGGACTTCAGGCCAATTGCTCACTGCAATCTGGTTTATAAGATTATTACTAAAATCATGGCAAACAGTTTAGCTTTGGTATTACCAAAATTGGTTGGGATGGAACAATGTGCCTTTGTGCAGGGTAGGAAATACCAAGAAGCTGTTATTATGGCACATGAACCGGTAAGGGACTTCAACAAGCCTAGACATCCAGCTATGGCTTTAAAAATAGACATCAGGAAAGCGTATGATTCTGTCTCATGGGATTGATGACAGCTTTAAAGAAATTTGGTTTAGAGACAGTTGGATAGAGTTGATTGCTACTATTTTCAAGTCTTCTAGGTACTCTATTTTGTTGAATGGTTCACCTGCAGGCTTTTTCCATCCTGAGAGAGGTTTGAGACAAGGTGTCCCTTATCTCCATTGCTGTTTACTTTGATTACTGAATTGTTTTCTACCTTGGTAGCTGATGTTGTGCAGAGGAAAGAGTTGTTAGTGTTGAAGTCCGTGGAAAATTTTCAGAAACCTCTTAGCCATATATTTTATGCAGATGATTTAATGTTGGCATGTGAGGCTTTTGTTCATAATGCCACTGTTCTTGCAGCCATTTTCAGAAGACTTAAAGAGATCACAGGATTACAAATTAATCAGGGGAAGAGTAGAGTTTTGTTTTCGAGAGCTGTGAGAAGAAAGCAGGTTCTTTTGCAGGTGTTGAAATGTTCAGAAGATGAGTTCCCAATCAAATACTTAGGGCTGCCTTTGTGTCCTAATGGCTTAAAGAGGTCTCACTGCAAGGAGCTCTTGCATAAAATTTCAAATAAAATAGTGTGTTGGAACACAAAATTGTTGTCTTTAGCAGGTAGATTGGAATTAATTAGGGCTGTGGTCACTCCTAATTTCCAATACTGGTGCAGTATATATGATATTCCTGTGGCAACTATCAATCAAATTCAGAGAAAGTGTAAAGATTTTCTTTGGGGAAGTAAAGAAAATGCAAAGAAGATACATTTATTAAATTGGGACAGAGTTACTCAACCAAAAACTGAAGGGGGTTAGGGGATTAGAAAGCTTTCTGATCTTCAACTAGCATCCAGATGTGTGTTAGCTTGGGATTTTTTAAACAGCAAGGACAAATTGGGGATTTCATTATATAAGTTTAAGTATACTCAGAATACTAACTATTGGAATGTGATAGGCAGGCAAACTAGCTCTCCCATATGGAAATCATTAGTAGAAGTTAGAGATGTGGTGCAGCAGCGTGTTTAATTTCAGATTGGGGATGGACAAAATACTATGCTGTTCAATGATCAATGGTGTAAAGGCCAATTATTTAGTGGTGTTTTTGGTCACAGAGTGGCTAGGAGTTTGCAGTTACCCAGATATACACTTGTCAGTTCTTAAATTCAAAATGGGGCTTGGAATTTTCACAGCTTGCAAAATGAAAATCTGGTTCCAGTTAGAGTATTACTGCAGAATGCGGTGATAAAAGAGGTGGAAGATAAACTGTTGTGGGATGAGGGGAGGTTCTCCTTCAAAACAGCTTGGAATGGTATTAGGCTATGTGATACTGAGGTGCCTTGGTATAAACTTTGTTGGGGTAAGGCAAGGCCTAGATGGTCTACTACAGCTGTGTTAGTTTTCTTGGATAGGCTGCCTACTATGGTTAATTTGCAGCAAAGGAAAGTATTGTTGGCTGCTAGATGCTCACTCTATCAGCAGAGTATTGACACTACTGATCACATTTTTGTCTCCTGTCCCTTCTCCCAGGGGATTTGGACGTGGTTGGGTGGGATTTACAGATATTTCAAGAAGTTATATCAGTGTGGGATCTCTTCCTTTGGATGGATAAGATGTATTAGAAATCCAAAAGGCTTCAAAGCCTTTTTGCTGCTGGTCTATGGTATATTTGGAGAGAAAGAAACAACAGACTCCATGGTTCCAATAGTCTTCTTTTGGAGTTAGTGGCTAGAGCTGCTCTTATGGAAGTGTGTGATGTTCAAAGGGTTAATCTTAATGATGTTATTGCATAGAATCTGGTTTGGTATACTGATATTGTACTGGAAGTGGGCTTAATCAATAGGCACATTATCCATGTAGTTTTATTATTTTGCTTTTTCTGAGTGTATGCCCTTTGTGCTCCTATATTCATGTTGATTTTTTGAGCTTAATACAACACCAATTATGAAATAAATAAATAAATAATATTTGGTCCTACAAACATTTAAAGGATGTATCTTCCAGAACTTTAAACTGCTGTTTTATTGATTAAAACATGTAAGGAAAAAAAAAAAAAAAAAAAAATGTGAGATACTACCTTATTTCAAGAAATTCTTTTAAAAATTACAAAACAATATAGTAATTCCGAATATTAAGGCTTTTGTGAATGTGAGATACTATATTTTCCAAGGAATTCTTTGAAGATTAAAAAATAATATAGTAATCAAGATAAGATTATGGTGATTGTAAAATGTAAATTCCAAGAGGTGCTCCTTCACAACCTTCAAGGTAGACCTATTTGAATTTCCCTAATAACCTGGTCTTTTTTATACGATCTAGGAGGAGTAACTTTACCAAATTGAGAGATGCATTGACATTGTTCTAGTGATCTGCAAGAAAATTTTAATAAAGCTATAATTGCCATCAAATCCATACTTTCCAAATTTGGTTCTGAACACACCATTCCACTATTTAATCAATGTCTAATTTCTAACACAGTTTTTCTTGGTGATTTATATTGTGAATTTTGTTTGACTTTGAGCACAATAAACAACCCGAAAGATACTCCATCAATTGAATGTACGGCACACCTATTATAGAACAAACAGAAGCAGGTGTATTATTTCAATATTGAGAAGCAAGGCATACACTGCTACTGTAACAGTAGAAAACTAGTTAATTTGCAGAACATTACTCGAATCAGATCATTCTGTTGGGTAAACTTAGGTTATAAAATTGAAAGATTATTCAATTTAGGTTTAACTAAAGGACTCTACGTTGTCAAAATTTTCAATAATTTGTCTTTAAATGAAACCCAAGTACAATAGAGTTTCACCTGTCATTTTGCATGGCGGATAAGATTACACTGTCTGATGGTGGAAGAAACTTCGATATAATTGCTGTGAAGAAGAAACCCAGAAAGAAGATAGAGCCAAATATGAGAAAGAACCATCCCCAAAACAGAGTCTCCTTGGAGGCAACAAACTGAGATGAGAACAGCATGCCTGCAGCATCAGTTCCTTGCTCTTGGTCACAGAATGACCATCTCTGCATTAACGAAACAAGGGAGAAATATTATATAATTCATATTTCAATTGCTATTACAAGAATCTGCGGAAGTAATAAAACAAAATGGATACCTCATAGGTAAAATGAGGTTAACTTAATAACATAAAACAAAACCTGAGGAAAACAATAAAATAACATATACAAGTAAAATCCTACTGGTAGTTGAGGGATCAAAATCCTCTCTTGCGAAACAGTAGTCCTGTCCTCTCCAGTTAGTGATGTACGTTATGAAAATGTTGTGATGTGGGTTTGAACATCACAACATTTCTGCAAGGTACATCACTAACTGGACAGGACAGGACATGACACTGGTTTGCAGGAGAGGATTTTAGTCTGTAGTGGAGCTGGCATTACACTTGGACATAACCCAAAAGCATTGTGTTCAAATCCTGAGGGTCCACCCTGATACGGTGTTTTGAGGGTGATTGTGGGTATTTTGAGGGGTGCGGACACCCTCTGTTGCCAAAATAAATAAATAAACATATAAAAATAAATTAACTTTTCCAAATACATCTCATTTCAAGTTCTAAGTGTCACGACCCACTCTGCTTAGATATTGTTCGCTTTGAATAGTCTTTGTGCTTACGATTTTTAAAACAGCGTCTACATAGTTGAGAGGTATAAACACATATAAGTGCCAACATCCTCTCCCTCCTAAGCAATGTTGGACGTCACACTAACAGGTTACAATATTAATCAAGATGAAAGTTTGACTAAATAATTCTCATAATCAGGGGCAGAGCCACCTGTGGGCTAACCTGGGCTGTAGCCAAGGTCCAAAAAAAAAAAAATTTAGTAGTACTATTACCTAGCAGCTATAGCCCAGCCCAACTTTCCCAATCCATGATAAATGGCCCAGCACACTAGGCACTAGCCCAACAAACTGAAGCTTATATATCGACCTAAGTAACTATTCAGCGCATACACGAATGAATACAGAATACACGAACTGTGAACTGATAAAAATCATACAACTATATACAAGGGTTTGAATACTAAAACCCTAAATCCCATGAATCACCCACTTGAGCTTCGGAATTGGACCAAAAGATTGAAGACTTGAAGAGTCAGATTAGAATGGAAAAATCCGAAAATCATCTTGTAAGTGCTCAAATTTAGATTGTAGATACATCTATATATATTATATATATATGAATTTGTTATTTGTATATGAAATTGACAAATTGTGCATATTAAATCTATCTTTCAAATATAAAAATAGATATATATTAATATATATATAGATTTGCATACTTTAATCTAGGGTTTTAGTTACTATAAATTTGGGATTTTTTTATTTTTTGGGAGACCTGAAACTTAGGCTTTTATACATGAGATAGTTTGGAAATTGGAATTCGGTCTCGACTCTCGTTTGTTATGTTGTGTGTAGATTGTGTAGTTATAATAAAATAATGTTCCAACCACTCAAATACTTTCATATATATATATATAGATGAAAGCAGAATAATAGAGAGAGAAATTCAGATTCCAATGAAAGTTTGAAACCAAAAACCCCAAGCCAAATTGATGACGATTAATTGAGATTAATAATTTAATACACAATCCCATAGGCCATAGAGGTCCACCGAAATTAACACAGAAAAAAATAATAATAATATATTTTTTTTTACAATTCCAATTTCAAAGCCCTGTTTAGTGCACCCAAACACAACATAGATGATTATAGAAGATCACAAAGCCATAAGGCGAATGTTTATTGATGGTGGTATTAAACAGAAACACAGCCCAACAATGAAAAACAGTGAGTTCTGTGAATAAAGACAAATTATGAGAAAATAATATAAAAGTATGATAGATTTGCATACATTTGTTTGTTTTGTATGTGTGTGAGTTAGAGTGAGTTGAAATAAAATTTCAATACAAGTTTCTCATTTCTTTGACAATACACAGACCTCAATAAATTTTTTTTTTTTTCTTTTTCCTGCTCGAGCTCTATAGGTGATAGGCAATTAGGCATGCCCTTTATTTTTGTTTGTTGAAGCACAACAAGGTAGGAATTTTCCACCCTCAAGATGAAAAATTTGTTTTCGTCTTATAAACGGAAAGATGATAAATCAGAAATTGGGACAGCTTCTACGAGTACGAGTACCCGTCCTAAGACTACAAGCTCTAATGAGCAGCAACAAAAGCCTCCTTCAAAAATTCCAAGAGTTGAGCAAACAGAGGTTGATGATATGTCTTTTATACGAGATCCTGGTTTACGTCTTCAAATATGGAAACACCCCGTTAATGAACGTGATGAACTTCGACGAAATTGTATCTTAAGGGGACCTTATCAACCAAAACTCCCTGTGTTTCCTTCCACTCAAGAAAGAACTCAATCTCGTCGATTTCAAAGTAGTTGGCATGAAAAATTCACTTGGATTGAGTATTCTCCTAAGAAAAATAAAGTATATTGTTTGCCATGTTTTTTCTTTGAAACTAATCCACCATCCCGTCCTGCTTTTACTGTCGATGGGTTTAATAGTTGGAAAAGGGTTAATGATGGATCTAGGTGTGCTCTTTTACAACATATGGGAGGTCCTAATTCATTTCACTTGTGTGCCGTAAGAGCTTCAGATGCGTTATTGAATCCTTTGCAACATATTGACAGCGTGTTGAATGTATCATCTAGAGATGTGGTAAAAAAGAATCGATTACGCCTTAAGACAACAATTGAAAGTGTTCGGTGGCTTGCATTCCAAACATGTGCATTTAGAGGTCATGATGAATCCATTGAATCTTTGAATCGTGGCAACTTTATTGAATTCATAAAGCATTCAGCAAAGTTAAATGACAAGTTGCTGAAGTTGTCTTAAAGAATGCACCAAAAAATGCAAATTACCTCTTGCCAATGGTTCAAAAAGAGGTTTTACATATTCTTGGCAATAGGTAGAGATGTAAGATTCGTGAAGAAGTTGGGGATGCAAAATTTTGTATTTTGGTTGATGAAGCACAAGATTTGTCTAATACAGAGCAAATGGCCATTGTATTGAGATTTGTTGATAAGAATAGTTTGCTTAGAGAACAATTTTTTGGAGTTGTAGGTGTTAAAGACACCACTGCCTTAACTCTTAAAAAAGAAATATCAGATGTCCTTACTCTTTATGATCTCCAAATTGATATCATGCGAGGCCAAGGGTATGATGGAGCGAGCAATATGAGTGGGGCATGGAATGGATTACAAGCGTTGTTTCTTAAAGAATGTCCATATGCATATTATGTACACTGTTTTGCTCACCAACTACAACTAGCATTAGTTGCTGCATCCAAAGATGTGCAAGATATATGGCTATTCTTTTCCAAGTTGAATTCTATTGTCAATCTTGTCAGTGCTTCTCCTAAGCGTCATAGCGAGTTACAATCAACTCAAGTGATTTTATCCGCTAATAAGTTGGCTACTGGTGAACTTCAGAGTGGTAAAGGAGCTAATCAGATTAAGACTTTGCAACGAGCAGGTGCCACTCGATGGAGCTCTTATTTTGGTTCTGTTAGTAGCTTAATAGACTTATTTGGTCCATCTCGTATAATTATTGAAAATCTTTCAAAGAATGGACCAACTAATTCTATACGTGGGGAAGCAAAAGGTGTTTAGCTTGCAATGCTATCATTTGAATTAGTATTTATCTTGCATTTGTTGCATGAGATGATGGGAATTACTGATATACTTTGTCAAGCATTGCAACGAAAAACTCAAGACATTGTAAATGCTATGAACCTTGTTTCAAGTACGAATGCACTCCTTCAAAATTTGAGAGAAAATGGGTGGCATACTTTCTTTCAAAATGTGAAATCATTTTGTAAAGAGCATGACATTGTAGTACCTGATATGAGTGCTTCTTATATGGTGGGTACAGGTCATTCTTCTCAACAAAACGATAGTATCACATTTAATCATCACTATCAAGTTAATATTTTCAATGCTGCTATAGATTTTCAATTGATGGAGTTAAATCAGAGATTCTCTGAAAGTACAGTGGAACTCCTTATTCTTGGCACAGCTTTGGATCCTAAAGATGCTTATAAATCATTTAAAGTTGATGATATTTGCGATCTTGTAAGGAAATTTTATCCTAAGGATTTTCAAGATGAGACGCGTGCTTTGAGAAGCCAGTTGGAGCATTATAAGATTGATGTACTCCATCATCCGAGTTTTCAGAATTTGTCCACCATTTCTGATTTATGCAAAATGCTAGCTGAAACAAGAAAGAGAGAAACTTATTATTTGATTGATAGATTGATTCGTCTCATATTGACTTTTCCTGTTTCTACAGCAACAACAGAACGAGCTTTTTCAGCAATGAAACGTATCAAAACTAAACTTCACAACAAGATGGTTGATGAATTTCTTGCAGATTGCATGATTCTCAACATTGAAAGAGAACTTGCTGAAGATATTGATATAGATTCGGTAGTTAATGAATTTGACTCTCTTAAAGATTGGAGGGTTCATCTTCAATAACTTAGGTTCATCTTCAGTAGGTTATTTAAGAGAATGCTATATATGTTTTTGTATCCAACTATGATGTAGTTCATTTGATATATGAGAACATCATCCTTTTTTTTTGTTGTTATTTTTTAATATATATAACATATATTTGTCATAAGAATTATTGTGTTCATCTTCAATTTTTTTAATCTTTAGCCCGCCCCACTTTGGAATCTTAGCTCCGCCCTGCTCATAATGACTTTAATCTCAACTGAGCAAACAAAGCCTTTTCCCAACTACTTTTGAACTCTCTTTTATTTTTATTTTAAAAGGATTGAAGTTTGATTTGTACAGCAAAGTGAAAACTTTATAGAATAACAGATAGATAATTTAAAAAGGTGACATTCGTCTGCAATCTACAATAAAATGAACGAGAATCTATATTCAAACTATCAAGAAGTGAAACACTTGGCATGAATTTTCTTTCTAATCATCATAGTGTGGTGGTACTCATAACAATAAAATTCATCAAAATCCTGAAGCTATGTTTTATGTTTAGAACATCTAATGCTTCAAAGATATATTTTACATAACAAATATAACATATTAGCATAATCTGCAAAGGTAGAAAACAGTATATACAAAAAGAGAGAACAGGTTAGATAAAATCCCTAAATCATAATACATACATATATATATATATATTATAGAAATAATATGTATATATGTATAGAGAGAGAGAGGAATACTTACGAACTTTGGAGCCGTATCTACAAATTCCTGAAGGACCCATTGTATTCAATGTTCAACCACAAAATGGTCGCTCAGATTCGGCAAAAAGAAACGGGTTTTCGAAACGGCAAATCAAAGAAACTGCTTTTGGGTGCGTCTGTTTTCATTTGCATCGGTGATTTTCTTTGGAATTAAAAGAACAGAAGTGATCACCTGTGAAGAAATCACTGGCCATATTGTGTGCGCAAAAAATGGCAAATGGAAATTTACTCAAACACCCACAAGAAATTTTGTTATTGCGATAGCTTTTACGCTTCTTTTTTGAACCAAATTATTTGGGATTTGAGATTTGTATTTAGCCCTTTTTGAGAATTTTCGATGAAAAATAAAAGTGAAAGAAAGAAAAAATTATATTTTGGTTACGACCAAATTTTGAATGAAAGTTGTGAAAAAATATTAGTTTGTTAATTTAGATAATATGAAAATAATAATATTAATAATTTTACTTTTTAAAATACCTTTTTAATTTTAAGTACTAAATAAATAAATTTATGTTGATATGAATTATTATTATTATTATTATTTTTTGTCTTGGTTTCAAGTTCTGTGTTTCCAGTGATCATGAATTGAGATATGATTAACTGTTTGATTTTTAATGGGTGTCATTGATTTGAGATAGCAAAAATGGACACGAGTAACCTAAAAAGCATAGTTTTCACGGGAACGTAACATTTTTTGTGTTTTATGTTAGAATTGTTTTGAGAAAAATCTAAAAAATGCGAGAAGCTTTAAAAAAATTTAAAATTTTTTGTTTCTTTTCTTTTCTCCTTAACTTATGCTAACCAAACGAAGTATTTAGGATTGTTATTAGAATGATGAAAACTTTTTTAACAGTAAAGTTGTTACAAATTTGTTGTATGCATTTTATAAAACACTTTTTATATTCAAGAGCATGTTTAAAGTTGTTTAGTAATAATATTGTTTAAAGTATTTTTATTATTAATTTATTATAGTTTTCGCGAGAACCTAACATTTTTTCGTGTTTCATGTTAGAAATGTTTTGAGAAAAATCTAAAAAATGCGAGAAGTTTCAAAAAAAATTTAAAAATTTTCGTTTCTTTTCTTTTCTCCTTAATTTACGCTAACCAAATGAAGTATTTGGGATTGTTATTAGAATGATGAAAACTTTTTTAATAGTAGAGTTGTTACAAAATTATTGTATGCATCTATAAAGCACTTTTTATATTCAAGAGCATGTTTAAAGTTGTTTAGTAATAATATTGTTTAAAGCATTTTTATTATTAATTTATAATATTAGACATACATTAATAACAATGTTATATGATATGTGAGTAATTCATTCACGTAGCTTGTTGGTTAAAGTCCCAAAATCTCAAGACTCCGATCGCGAAGAAAGAAAAAGAAATTAATTAATTTAATTAAGCATGAATACTCATACTAAAATATCCACTAATTTATTATATTGCTCCCATTATTTTTATAATTTTATTCAAATAAACCATTCAATGTCCAAATAAATTATATAAATAATAATAATAATAATAATAATAATATTTATTTATTTTAGGGTAAAGTACAGAGACACCCCTGAGGTTTGGGGAAAGGACAAGTAGAGGAAAGTTGGCATGTTTTTGGACAAATACACCTCCTTGGGAAATTTGCCCTCCAAATAGAGCCTTAAATCATGTGAAAAGTCAACTTTACCCTTCACTATTTTATTAATTTTAATTATAAAATATTAAAAACTTAAATGGCCAAATTACCCTTTTTATCTCTCTCTCTCTCTCTCTCTCTCTATATATATATATATATATATATATATATATATATATATATATATATACACCAACAACCAGTCACCACCACCCCCAATCTCCATAATCACCACCCACTAAAGAAGACGCTGAAGAGGAGCTCTGCCACCGCCACCTCCTTAACCTCGCCGGAGCTCAGCCTCGGTTCGGGCAGTGAACTCAGCCTCGGACAAGCTGGGTTTGACCGGGATTGACAAAGACATTCCCCACGCCGGCATCGTTAATTCTTGACAGCGGCAGAGAGTTGATGTTTGAGCCTACAGCAAAGATTTGAGGATGAGATCGGTGCCACTGCCACCGCCGCCACCACCACCACCCTCTTCCCCTCTCTCTCTATACACACGCATACACACACACACACACACACACACACACACACACACGCACGCACGCACGCACGCACGCACGCACACATATATCACCCCCTCATCTACGCACATCACCATCCCTAGTTCTCATCTGCGCACGGAAAGACTCAAATCGAACGGCAGAGGCGATGGCCACTTCAGCCTCTTCGGCCTTACAGGTGACGGTCGTCGGACTGTGCTCATTTGAACCTTGTCGTCATTGGAGCTTGGTCCTCGCCGGATTGTTTCTGTTCGTTGGTCTCTTGTTGCTCGGATTCTAAACCTCGCCACACTGTTCAGTTCGTGGCTGCATCGTCATCGGAGCTTTGGTCCTCGCCGGCAATTTTAGGGTTTCGCCGCCATTGTCGCGGTCATCGCCACCACACCCACTATCGTAGTCATCACTACAATCTCTCGCCTATCTTTTTCCTCTCTCTCCTCTTCACCTTATCTCTTTAACTATGGCCGTCCCTCTTTTCCCCCTCTCTCTACACCCACCATCGCAGCCACAACTACCATCCATCTGATCTCCATTCTCTCTCCTCTGGTGAACAGTATAATATACACACAGGCGGGTTCGGGTTTGGTTTCGGGTTTGGGTTTGGGTTTAATTAAAGGGTATTTAAGTCAATTAAAATGTTAATTTTATTTGAAAGGGTAATAAGGTCAATTCACCATCTTCAGGGTCTCTTTGTCCATTTTTCAAACTTGAAAAGGTGTTATTGTCCAAAAACAGGCCAACTTTCCTTTGTTTGGCCTTTCCCCAAATCTCAGGGGGTGTCTATGTACTTTACCCTTTATTTTATATACATATATAAGGTGACAACACTCTATTTATTGTGGACAACACAATGAGCAATTAAAAATAGAATGGACAAACATATGGTGTGTTTGTCGGCAAGACGACTCATATGGTCAACAACACAGAAGCTATAAGCCTATGACGTTGTTTGGACACAAAAACCAACATCAAAATAATGTGATATACTTGGAGTAACAATTCCACACGTGGGGCAACCACAATGATCTTTATTTCAATAAGAAAATGCATTACAATAGTATTGCTTTTGGAGGACAATCACATAATAGAATAGAATGGAATGCCTATTTCAATCATTCATTTGTTTGATATGCAAATTAAAGTGTGAATGACCATTCCATTAGAATGGAAATTCATTGCACAATTAAACCTATGGAATGGCCAAGTAAAAATCAACTTCCAAAAAAACCCTCATATCCAAGTCCAAAAACTACCACTACCTTCTACCACAACCACCTCCGCATTTCACCACCACCACCATTACCACCGCCTTCCACCACAACCACGGCCACTGATTTTCACCATCATCCACTGCTTTCCACCACAGCCGCCGCCTTTCACCACTGACACCACCTTCCTTTATCGCAACCACCACCGCCTTTCACCACCACTACCGCTACCACCTTCCACCACCACCATCGTCATTCATCATCGCCACCACCTTCCACCACTACCACTGCCGCCTTCCACCGCCACTACCTTCCACCACCACTATTGCCACCACTACTGCTACCGCTTTTCACCATAGCTACCGCCTTCCACCACCACTACCACCACAGCCACCTTCCACTTTTCACCACCATTACCACCTCCTTTTACCACCGCCACCGCCTTCGATTGCCACTTCCTTCCAATGTCACCACCGCCACCACCACCACTACCACTGCCACTGTCTCCCACCACCTTCCACCGCCACCGCCTTTTACCACCGCCACCGCCTTCTATCACGCTACCGCCACCGCCACCGCCACCGTCTTTCACCACTACGACCGCCGCCGCCTTCTTCCACCGCCACCGCCACCACCACCACCATCGCTGCCACCGCCTTCTATCACTGCCACCACCTTCCACCACTGCTACTTCTACTGCCTTCCACCATTGCCACAGTCACCTCCATTGGCTTCTATCACCGCTACCTACACCACTATCTCCTTCCACCACTACCACCACATTACTACCACCACCTTCCACTATTGCCATCGCTGCGGCCTTCCACCATTGTTGCCGTCGCCACCTTCCAACACCACCACCTACACCACTACCATTTTCCGCCTCCAACACCATCGTCACGACCATCCACCACCACCACTGCCACTATTTATTTTTAAAAAAATTATTAGAGGTGTCATTTTGTTAATTTAATTTATTTGTTACTAAAAGGGATATTTTGGAAAACTTAATTTGAGAAATATTCCATTCTAAATTTTAAATTGGTCCAACTAAACACTAGAATGGTTATTATCATTTTATTCCTACACATTTCATATTTACAACCAAATAATAGAATAAGAATGACCATTCCATTCCATTCCATTTCCATTTTCATTCCATTCGCACTTGCATTATATTCTCTTCCTACACACCAAACGCAACATAGAGGTATAACTGTAAGCATAGCTGCAACATATATAATGGTCATAAGTTCATAACCCGCCATGAAAATAACTATATATGTGTATATATATTATTATTTTCTTTATTAACAAGATGGATAAGTAAGGAAACAATTTAACAATGAAACTACTGGTCTCATTTCAAGATTCATTGGGGATGACATGTGATTGCCTAGAATTTCATATAGTAATGATGACGATGATAATAACAACAATAATAATACTAATAATAATAATAATAATAATAATAATTTTTTTTTTTTTCCTGGATGGGAAGGTTTTTTTTTATTTATATATTTTTATATATATATATAAATGAATAAAATATAAACATGGTACAAACTTGAAAATCGGGAGGCATACCTCCCGTCACATAAATGGAACGGAAAAGGACCATTTCCAATAGCAATCAAACAAGAGCACAATCTTTGATAACGACAATACAAGAAGCAAATCAAATATGCAAGATCTAAGGAGAGGAAATGTTGCACTTCCCCACAATGGGTATGGCAGTTACCGAGGCGTTGTCTCTAGCTCCTTTGTGAAGAGAAGAATTTCTTTCCAACCATATTTTCCAAAGATAAACAGAGAAAAGGCATTTCAGCAACTTGGAATTGTGATTGTGTCCTCTAGAATTCTGCAAAAACCATT